GAGAGAGAAAGACTTAAAAATGACAATTTTACAGGAAATGCAATTGCCAGCTGTCTTGCAATCTCTTAATAGTGATACTAAAAGGTGTATCATGGAATGGGCGAATATCGTTCGAGCAAAACACAGTTCAGATGATGTTGACAGCGATGATGATGACAATGTTACTTATTATGGAGACCCTCTTCTCATAATTGAATGGAATGAATCAGGACTTATTCAACGAAATATTCAAAAAAATACTGTGGTGAATTGTATGTATATTAATTATATGCATATTAATTATTGTAATTTATATTAATTGAGAAGACTTTTAACAATAATACTTTGTTCTACAGATATTCGTACATTTCAAGGTTGTAATTCTTTTCCAGGCGCTGGTCTACCTCCATCGGATTCTCTTTTCTATATTGTTAATACGCAAATTATTCCTGCTCAACAAATAATCAGTAACATATTGTATGGATTAAAACTAACATACTTGCAGAGAAATGTACCTTCTTTAGGAAGGATCTATAAAGTAGTTGCGGAACGAAAAAATACATTTGAAGTTACTGAAATTTTTGGCATTTTTTCCTTGTAATTTGCATGCCAATTTTAATATTGCATATAAATTTGTAAGCGTGATGTTGATCTTGTGAAATCATAAAATTTTCAACAATAAGATCTTTTCTTACTATCGTCTGTCCTGTGATGTTTGGAATGCCTTTTCGTCTCATTCAATCTATTCAGTTTAAAAGAAAATTCTATCCATTCAGTTTAAAGAAAATTAAGAGCGAATATTCGGAATTTAAAGTTTCACAACTGTATTACTGCATTGCAATCGATGATATAAAAAAAGCCGTTTTTTATATATAATTAAGTAGAATATTCATTGAGCTTTACAAAAACTTTATTTGTCAAAAGAAAAAAGAAAAAATTTATCTTCGGTTCCAAATCAAAGTTCTGCAAAATGTATATAATTTAAACATGTAGTTTTACTAAAATAATTTTGTTAATTTTTTTTTTTTTTTTTTTTTTTTACCCGGGAGTCCCAGGACGCCGGCGGCGTGCTTTATTAGATTTGAATTTTGTTAATTTTAAAGTTCATATATAGTAAATTTTGCTTTGAACAAGTCATTTAGAGGAAAAATATTGCAGCAAGTTTGCAGAATTTGACATTTATTCCTTATAAGAAATCATTGCGCATGTGCACGGAATTTTGAATGCGAGACATACTAAATTTGTGCGTAAGCATATACAGGGTAGCACCTCTAAAACCCGTAATTATGTGCAACATTGCATATATTAAGTGCATTTTTTACGCGTTGTCATGTATAGTTTTGTATTCAGTAAATTCAGTAACCTATCTTTTTTATATACTTTTATACACTTTTCCTCATAAACATGTACGTACGTGTTAAAATTTGTGAATTTTTTTCGATAATTAATTTCCATGCAGTGATTACGTTCATTTGTGCTTAATTTCGTGATAGAAATGCATTTTTGTGTACTTATTTTAAGTCACCAAATTTAACTAGATAGTGCTAGTTTTTAAGGCCCTTATATAAATTGAAATATCAAATAGTATAGATCTACAGTAAAATTATTCAAGGAAACTTTTTTTAAAGACACAAAATGTGATTTCTTACGGGCTTATAAAATGCACCATAGGTGTCGAACACCATAGTTGTTATATCTCAAAAACGTACTAGCTAACACATCTCTGGGGCATTAAGTAAAAATGTTCAGAACCCCCAAAAACCTTATGCTAACTAAAATTTGGACCTTTATATCGAACCCCTATCTTACTCTAAGGTTGACCCTAACCCTAAATTTTCGCCAAAAACATATTAACACCAACAACACCTATGGTGCATTTTATAATTACTGCATATTTTCAAGAAATTAACGATTTTTGACAACGCGAAAGTTTGTTTTGAATTTTTCTGATCGTGTTACGTTACTAAAACTAGATAGCTGCTCGATATCGTTACGCAAAACCAGGAACGGAAGATCTAAATAGAGGTTAGAATCAAAATATATACAGTATTTAATATTAAAATTATTTACTTGATTGACGATATGAGAAAATGTTAAATTAATAGGGATTCAATTGAACGGTTATAACTTTGGCCGATCTATTTTGCTATATACAAATGGGCGATGAAATAATTATTCGAGGATTTACTAATTTCCCCACCACTTCCACCACTTCCTATTGGAAGGATGAAAATTATATCTCTCATTGGATGAAATATTCATGAGATTAATCTTTATGCGCAGTATAAGTGGCTTGTCAAAAAATTTTTAATTAATTTTTTTTTTTGCATAATTTTAATTGCATAAATTTTAATAAAACTTTTTGCTTAAAAAAAAAAAAAACTTGCGAATGTTATTTTTGTATTTATTAAATCACTTTTCGTCATTTAATACTAATATTTTGCGGTGCGGCTTGCTTCACCGACACTCAACTCACTGACATCTTAGTTCACCGACATTTAATTCACCGACAAGTTCATTTACCAACAGTTGATTTTACTGACAGCTCATTTCACAGACAAAGTAATTCTGGTCATTGTCGTTCGGGTCAGGCCAGAATTAGAGTTAAGGTTAGTGTAAACTTGTCGGTAAAAGGAACTTGTCAGTAAATTAATTGTCGGTGAAATGAACTTGTCAGTGAATTAAATGTCGGTGAACTAAGATGTCAGTGAAGTGATTGTTGGTGAAATGATACGGACCCAATATTTTGTAACTCACAAATTTAGCAGTTTTCAATAAATAAAATTACACGATTGATTAAAGAATCCTTTTCTGTTTTATTAATTGTATTTTAAGTCAAGCAAAATAAACAAACATACCATAATTGTCAATTTTGTATTTTCTGTCAACATGTTGATTGCAGTAAAGATTGATGATATTTTCAATATTGATGAAGACATTGATATGGATATTAGCAATAATGAGCTTGATATCAATAACATGCTTGATTCCATTTTAGATGCATCAGATGGCATTGGTCAAGCATGGGAGGCTACAATGATGATGTAAAAAAGAAATATCAGGAGAAGAAAAAAGTAAAAACTTATAAATTTCTGGTAAATAACTATGCTGAATGATCAAAAACCTTGAAAAATCAGGTCTTAGCTATAAACAACATGAATATCAAATTAAAAGAAGTGTAAAATGTAAAAATGAATGGATGAAAGGTGGTATTATCATTGCTATGGAATGTACAAAAATGATGCTAGAAAAGATACAAATTAGAAGCCACATTTGGTGCAAAAAGAATCTAAAAATGCAGGTGTAAAAGTTATATCTTTATCATGCTTTCTCTTAATTTATCTACAGTAATTTAAAAATATTATTATAAACATTGTAACCATTATTCTGGTCAACAAATATTCATTAATTTATCAATATCACATTCTTAAGAGTCTTGATGTTTTTAATATATATAAACTTATGCAATTTCAGCAATAGAACTACAAAATTAGATTTTATTTTTATATTTATTTTGTTTATTTATTTTATTGTCCTTTTTAATCTAGTTGGATTCTGTGAATTTGATATTTATTTTTAATTATTAATTATAAACAGCTAACAATTGCAAATAATTATTATATATAGGAGGGGTTCGGATCCCATAGCTTAATGGATAAGCTTCTATCCCCCACAGACAAGGTTGACAGTTCGAGTTTGGCTGGAGGTAGAGTACTCTGTAACCTAAAAAGGAGCCTATAATCATATGTGAAGCCTGTAGAAGTCCATGTGATGGTACACGTTTGGTTTAAGGAATTCTCAGAAGAAAACTAGTATAGCAGAGCATGAGCACTACTATAGTGGGAGATGTTGAGAATGTCACCGATGTTTGTGGAAAGGATTGGCCTTACCTGATATAGAATCACCTCTAGCACAATAAAATCTGAATAAGGTGTGGCTGTGGGAACTACCTCTTTCAGTAGAATTTACTTCACGAGTAAAGTAGCCTAAAGGTTGAACCAAGTACCTAAATTAAAGATCATGTGAACAGAATAATATTGAAATTAGAGAGTTTAAATAGGAGATCCACAAGTGGGTCTTAGGTATGGCAATGAGTGAAGAACCTATAGGCAGAACCCTTAAATAGACAATGACTAAAGTTGTATATGTAGCTTATTGTACCCTCGTTAATATATTACTGTAAACCCTTCTGTAAAAATACAGACTATAGATACTTTAATAATAAAGGGAAAAC